CACAAGGGATGCCTGCCAAAAGATCAATCCTCCACTTGTGGATCTTCGTCGTTCAAGGTCACTCGAACCCCATCAGGCGTCGCTGACACCGACCAAGCCATCGTATTCAGGCAACGCGTCATTTCCTGCTGGAAAACGTTGAAACAGGTGCAACTGGCTTCTCACGTACCTAAGGTACTTGCGAAGTGCAGTCTTGCGCAAATTGCTGGGCGTTGCCTGTCCAGTGGCAAGGATGGAGAGAAATCAGGATTGATCAGGCCTTGACTGCGCCCACCACGACAGCTTTCCAATGATCCTTTTGTATCTCGAAGCAGCTTCATCCGACAAGGGTTGCACACATGCTGGATCTTTGATTCCCTTCTCCAACACTTCCAACAAGTTTGGGGGAATATCGGATGGCTTGAGGTCACAACAAAATGGATCATTCGTGAACAAGTCTTTCAAGTACGTAGTCTGGTGGCACTCGCAGCAAGATGTCACTCGATCCGGCAAGTCGTACAATGCGTCGTCCAAGAAAAACGATTGTTCCACCTGGACCTTTCGACGTCGTGAGGGTTCCTGTCGTTTTCACTTTCAATGTTTCCTGCAATGCTTCACGAACGTCCGAGATTCCATTCAATGAAACTAAAGTCACTAGCAAATCATCTACATAGATCATGACTGCTGTTGGACAACCGGACTTCTTGGACACACCGCACATCACAGTGGGCTCGGACACGCAAGTCACAAGATCCACCTTCTCTGTCAGGATTCGCGAACACGTTTGGAGCCAACTCTTGGAGCCGTTCATGGATTTGTGCAAGTCTAAGTGCACCCCTTCATAGTATGTGCTCTCAAACGAACAGTCCGCTGGCAATCTAACAATCGCACGAATCCCTGGTGGAAGGTCACGTGGAAGGTCACTGTTGAGAAATGCCGTTGAGATATCTAATCCAGCCAGATGCATGTCATGATACTGAACCATGGTCAGAAAACATCTAAACGCCTCTATGCTTGGAGTCGATCGCGCTTGAGATACCTAGACTCTAAGCCGACGCTCCACCGCTTGCGATCTCCTGTGCAACGCACCTCGCACGGCATTGTCCAGGCACTCCTTCTACGGTCTTTGAAGTCAGAATCCATCGACATGGAATGATCTTTACCTTCAAGTCCTTTGCAAGGCTTTGGGCTTCTTCTGACCTCATTGGTCGACCAACGTACAATGTATCCATTGCCTTGAGTTCGATGGCTCTCCCTGACCGGACAAGATCTGGGCTGAATCGAATTAACCCGTCTTCCGAGATTCCGAATGATGGCTCCACCAAATGAATGACAGTCCCACAGAATGCCATAGGCTCTGATGATACAGTGTCTCTGGAGCTGAACTCAACCGTTCGAAAAACTGCGAGACGTCCATCGGCATCGAACTTGGATCAGGATCTTCACTACTTGGCATGTGTACATCTTTGGGATTTGGAGGTTCGCTTGGAGTGTACTCTTCATATAATCTCCTGACTCAAGCAATCGATCGTCTCCCGGCGTCGGCGCATCTAGACTCGCAGGAGCGGGCACCCTGTCACCTGACACGTCGACCGGCGGCTGTTTTCCAGTGAATCGAACTCGACCGGTCGGATGAACACTTTCTGATGAATCGGATCCCTTCGACTTGTGAGGTTCATGAGCAACACCTTCACTGCGATCAGAAACTTTGGGAACACTCTCAGCCATTGCCTCTCTTTGTGATTGGACCCAGTCCCTATATCGTCGGCAGCATCCAGCACTGTGTTTCTTTCCGTGTCTAGATGAAGAGTTGCAAGCACCACACTGAGGTGTCGGACCGTGATCCCTGACCCACTCCCGAGGCGGACCGTTCAACGGTAACGGCTCAGCGACACCGACCTGATCGTCCAATGGCGCTGCCGGCTTCGAATCCAGCGCTGGTGCATCGGTCGTCTCAACTCCTTTCAACAGGCTCGGGGCTAGATCGACGTCCCAAAGGATCTGATTGAGGGGCTTCACTTCCGGAAGATGTGATCTCGTCCATTGATTCTACTTGATACAACGTGGGCCAATGAGTTGGGTTTCACATGAAGGTATGCTGCTGGAATAAAGCGAGTCTTCTCGGGAACCGAATCGATCAACGAATCGGGAACTTGAGCGTGGCATACACTTCCGAACAATGTCGAAACTGGTTTTGGTCGGTCTTGGTTCAAGATAATAAGCTCGATCGGCGTTCGACGGCTTTCGAGTCCAGCTGATTGTCCAACAGATCCTCCAACCCCAAAGCGGTTGCGTGTTTGGGAGACGTACTGCGTGATCTTGTTGAAACTCTCGGACTTCCCGACAAATCAAACCCGTGAAGGCGCATATCCGACCTGATACAGGAAGTCATTTCCTTCACTCTCCTCACGTCCTCTCGGCAAAGCCAATGGATTCGGAAGTCCCAACCGTTTCATCATGCTCCCAATCAAATCAACGGTTCGCTATCCGTCAACACTTCAACTCTCAACGAGGTGTTCTCCGAAACTCCGAGCTGGTGAAAGTACTGACGACACTCCGAAATCGTTTGGTCTTGATTGGCACCACACAAACTCACTCCCAACAATCCAGTTCCAGCATCCACCAAAATCACGAATTTGTTGCCCTCAATGAAGAAGAAGTCAGCTTGGATCAACAACATTCGGTGGTCAACAGGTGTGGAACTCGAATTGCTTATTGTACACGGCCATGTCTTAATGTGGATCTACTTTTCGCGCAATGAGTACAGCAGCTGTCAAAAGGAATGTGGCCTTTTCGTCGGCGCATGGGCAACTCTTGATCTACCTTCTTCGAATGGCTCTTTGGGCATCGATGATGCATCTCCATCCAAATCGATCTCAGAGAACGGTGGCAGTGGCTGTTCGGCAGCGTGCAAAAATCCCTCATGTCGATACGTGGTGTGACGATTGGGCTCATTTAGACTGGATTTCGGTTCGATCTCATAGGTTTTGATCTGTGGTTGATCATCGAACTTCAACATTTTCACATGATGGGACGAACCACTTCTGTCCAATGACCCCTTTGCCATGGTGTCTGATTGGACTTTTCGGACACATTCAGGAATGGATTTGGCGCTATGGTGGAATTGGCCAATTGCGATCGAAAGAACAAAAGTTCCGTACGAGTCTTAATCGAAAATTCCCTGGCCAACAATCTAAGGCACTCAAATCCGCAGCAACGGTCGAATCCTTTCACTTCCTCATAGTTCCGGATCACCAAAGTCGCCTTAGGATGGTGCTCGAAGCACATTTTCAAGATGGAAAGAAGTCTCACAGATCGTGTGATCGGGTTGGCACTGAGTCGACGCCATCCTAACGGCTCTCGTTCTTTGACACACGAAAGGATTTCAGCAGGGTATGCGTTGGATTTTAAACCAGTCCAACTTGCCAGACTGGGTCTAGTTTTCCAGTCTTGGTGATTGGGGGTTGGGATCGGTGGCATCCACTTCTCCGATCGTTTGAACGGATTCTGGTCATTGTCAACATGTGCTGTGGAGCCATGTGCTGCGCAGCCAACCCTGGAGGGGGTGGCATGGTTTGACCTGCACCTGGACCTGCAAACAATGGATTGCTCTGGTCTGGACTTGCTGGCATGCTTGATGGGAATGGCCTATCAGGGATTCCTGCAGCCTGAGCTGAGCTTTGATAGAAGTTGCTCCACGGGTCATTCCCTTGCAATGGGTCGAACGGCATCGATCCGGACTGCGCACTCTGACTTGGACGTTGCTGCATGGGCGTACTCGGAATATCTACTTCGGGATGTGTCGCCTGACTAGGCTGCGCGAATCAGCTTTCCGTGGCATGTGGAAATGGGGGTACTACATTTGGGACGACGGTCGGAGGCGACGACGCTGCGACTGGCGGATTCGGTGCTACCGGCATTTGGGATGGATTCGAACTGGCGGCACCGGACCCACTCTGAACTTGGAGTACCTGTTGAAGCAAAGGACCCAAACTACTCAACGTGTTGGTCAAATGGGCAACTTGCTCTTCCAGATTTGCATTCTTCTCTGACTAGCACTCCCTCCCGACCGAGGATCTCGAGGTTGAGCTCTAGCCTCGGATCGTCCTCTGGATCGTTCTCGAGCTCGTCCAGATCTCGCATCATCTCCAGCGTTCGACATGGCAATCTCTACGGATGTTAAACCAAGTGAACACGTGAAAACAGTTGAGACCTACGCTCCTTTACAGGAGCTTCGCTACCATATGAAAATTCACGTGAGTTCAATCCCAAAAGTAAAGCCTAAGTTGAAAAACTTGGTACACTTCTTGGTTTGTGGTTGTTCGAACTCTTCGACACGATTCGAGCGTCCTCCCACTCCCACGCGCCACCGGTGCGACTTTTTCGCACTTGAGCCACAGTTCGTGGCGAACGGATGTCCTGCGAACACCTGTGGCCAAAAACAGTGGCCTTGCTTGCACGGCCACTGCAACCGATGGTGTTTCCTCGAACTCGATTTGTGCGTGTCATCCGCACTGCAAAAACACGTCCAAGCGTCCACGTGCAATGCAATGGTTTGGGCGGTCTTAAGGGAGCTAAACGGGTTTCTATCTTTTCACGCCACAACCACCACCAGCAGCACCACCACGACCACCACAACAACAACCACAAGAACAACCACAACAACAACCACCAACCACCCCAAGCAACGCCTCGCACTCTGCATCTCACCACCATGTCCTGTAATCACGCTTACTAGGGACACACTTTGCAAGCGCTTTGCTTCGTTGTGCTTCGTTGGCCTGCTGGCCCGCTGTTGGGCGTCAGCCCCTTAAATAAGCTAAGTAACTAAGTAAGCTTCTAACCAAAGGTGTTTTAATTGTTTCTTATCTTTTGTTCTTCTTTTAGCCTGTGGCCCTAAGTTACCATCTACTGGACGCAGGAGAGCTCACGCTTCTTCAAGGAAGCATCTTTTTCTGCTCAGAATGGAGGGAAGCTTCCTTGAAGAAGCGCTTGCACTATTCATGTGGTTCACTTCGGGCCTGCGTGAGCCATCCTTTCCGGAAGCATCAGAGTCCAGGGACAGCGACACCTCACATACGGTCACAAGTCACAAACTGAGAGACTTCGAGTGAAGGTGCTTGGGAGCCAGGCACGTTCGCCGACCTCATAGCAGGAGCACGGACGCTACTAGGAGCAAAAGGCATCGCTACTAGGAGCAAGGACGCTACTAGCAGCAAAGGGCACCGCTACTAGTAACAAGAAGCTATTAGAAACAAGAAATAAATCAAACAACGTGCTTGGGAGCCAGGTTTTTGAACAACTTGATGAAACACCAATCTGTCAGGCTTAGGTCTCTGCTGGAATCGACCACTTGTCGGCCACCACCTTGTACAAACATCCACCACTTCTTTATGTCATAGCAAAGAATCCACCACTACCAAAGCGGAACGATGAACTAGGGTCAAAACTCCTGGGAATGCTTGGGCCTGCACTCAGCTCTCTTAAATTGTTTCGCAGACGTCATTCCACTTCTCATCAGTTGCAAGAAGAAAGAACAAGAAGCCTCGGACGTAGTGTCCCTTGGACTAAGACGTCTGAGTTGGCAACTTGAAGCACCATGGAGAAGAACAAAAGAAATGGGACGGCCTCAGATTTGAGAAGCCAGAAATAACCAGCTTAGGCTGTCGCCTCATTTTCCTTACTGTTACAAATATTATCCAGGTCCAGAGTACATCGATGAATCCCTCGGCAAGGACGTTAAAGCCACTTCACTTGCTCTCAAAATATCAGGGGCCCAAAGCAATAACTACATAAAACTTGAATATAATGGCAAGCAAAAACTGTGACCAAACTCAGGTTTCAGAACTAACATGAGTTACCTTTTTGAAAATCGATACAAACATTAATAGAACACACGCTCTGTGTCCATCATCTTGCTTGATCCACGACGAGCAAGTTACACTGTACACTCCGAATCTGCTCCATTAACTTTTTTGGAGCACATCGGTGACATAAACACAACTTGTAACTTGCTATCCGATGTGCTGTCTGGATCAACACCAGCGAGCGTTTGTGCTGGTCAAGAGCTTCCGATCCAACCTCAGAAAAATGGACAAAGAAACGGTTAGACAGCTCGATTCTTGTTTCACATGCCAATCGCTGACACCAAAGAATGATTCGACCAAATGGATGCTGGACAAAACAGTCACTCATCGCATCTTTCTGCTTTGGATTTCTGCAATCCTCAGCCACCAACCCATTCGGCCAAGCGTGCATAGTAAAACATATCCACCTGTGTGTTTACTCCCATGTGTTGAATTCCGTCTACGCACTGCAGCCACACAAGTCAAGGCTGGACCGACATGTGTGCACTGGCCATCTCGCAGCTTACTAAGCAGTCACTTGCCACTAGGCGATGAATCACTGAAACCACTTGAGCCAACCAATTCGATGGTCCAAGTATGCAGTACCAGCGCTGCGTCAGGAAAGGCTTGAAACGAAACAATTTTCAATACTGAACCTGCAGATTCCCACCACATCTTGCAATCAAGGCCACCTTTAGCCAACAATGACAACAACCACAAACAAAGCCCATTGCGCATGACTGTCCGACATGTTGGGAGCTCAACAACTGGCGAGTCAGGGTGGCAGAATGTGGCCTAGCAACAACGTATTTTGCAAGACCTCGTGCTCAAAAGGTTTCAAAGTCTCAATGAGGGCAGCCCGGAGAGCGCAATTTACCTCGAGCCACATGAGCTGGCGAAATCAATACATTAGCATCATGGCAGGCAACCTCAACCATGTCAACAACCCAAGAACAAAGGCAGATTAGAAAAAGTTGAGCTAGCTGCACAGTGACCAATACAAAACCAGCAGGAGCAAGGAGCAAGACTGAAATAGGAAGGCAAGCAAGGCCAAAGATCTGGAGTAGGCCGACTGAAGAGACAGATCGGCTAGGGAGAGGTGAAGGCAAGCTTGCTATGGAGCCCACGTTTGCCGACATTCGTTACAAATGGGCAAATCGCGCCACGCACTCTAAAGCCACAACAGGAGAGACCAGCCCTCATAAAAAAGGCATGGCGGTCGATCAGCTTAATCCTGTGCTGCTTTGCACTCACATGTACCAAACAAGCACGTTGGATCAACGAAGCACTTTCAACTCACTCTAAGGTCTTCCATGAAGCTGCACAGCAGGTGGCAAAGAAGCTGGTCAGGCCAACTTGTTGCACAAATGTTATCAGTTCTTCGGTGAGTTGGGAGTGGGCAACTAGCATCTGCCACACTGAAAGCCTAGGCCTAGAATACTCAACGTCTGATTTGGTGTCATCCATTCACGTCCTCCCAAATGAATTCTTGTGAAACAAAGGGAGTTTGTGTGAAACAGCTGCAGTCAAACCAAAGGAAGGTAAGTCAAGTTGATGATGCACAGTTTGAAATTCCTTAACCTATGACTTTTCAAGGTAATGCAAGTGGTGCAACAAAGTGAGGTCAGCATCAACAACATCATTATGGCATCACTGTATCTGCTTCTTCTGTCTCCTCCATCTCCTTTCAATCTCCTCTGTCTCTCGAAAGCAGTGGCAGCACCTGGTCAACCATATCGATAACCACATGCCACAACATGTCCTGAGCACAAATCACAAAGTTCAAATGAAATGCTGCAAACAAGGTCGAATGTCAAATTTGAGAAGCAAACAGGGAAAGCAAACAGGGATGCAGGAATAGCGTGCTCGTACCACCAAATGTTTGCTGCTCACCAAGTTCGCAAAAGTCCAAGGCTCATATTGCATGATGAGATCCACAGTCACGCGCTTTGACAACGATCCAAAAATCGCCTGCATTTCTTGGGGTTTGCAAGGTCTTGAAGGTCTAATCGTGCTCGAATGTTCACAGCTCACAGCTGGCCTTACTTGCACGAAACATGAGCAATGCATAGAACACCGGGGTGATGAGCAAGAGGTTTGCAAGCATCGTCGGACCTGAAAGTATTGCGCAAGTTTACATTGAATCGCCAAAGCGGAAGCAAAGCTAAGAGCATGGCTGAACAAATCCTGAAAATATGAAGCATTGATGCTGAAGTCACTGCCTCGTAGAAACTCCTCTTGTCAAGGCACACACTAGTTGGCATGATGGGATGTTCTGTTTGTAGTTTTTCTTTTGATACCTTGGACGCCCCCAATATCTGCTGTATGTGGTCCTCCGAAACAGATGGAGTGGCACTGGCCAGCCGTGGCATCACGCGGCAAAAAAGCACGACTACCTGACGCATCTGGGTAAATCACGGCAACAGTCACTCAATGAAAGTGACAAGGCCAGGTTCAAGGCACGTTCTTGAAAGATATTTTGCACTGCTCTCATGAAATGCTGTTGTCTTGTTGAATGCCGAGTTCAAGTTACCCACAAAACACCCGAACACCCACGCAATGCTGCACTGACGTCATTCAACAACCTTTAGAAGGCCTTTGCAGCATGCACCCAGCTGTAGCAAAACCACCTGCACACAGGCACACAAGTGAAATAGCTTTCAAGTTAAGGTGAAGCATGGACCATGACAATACAAGCTGCTTTGCAAAATGCTCCCAGTATGGGGCAGGGGCTGCGTTGGGGCTGCACGATATGCACACTCCACTCTCCAGAACCAGGCAAGATGCAGCAACCTCAACCAGGAATTGAGAAGCTGAACCCTCCCAGCTTAGTACGACGTTGGAACTGAATCCAGAAGCTCTGGATTACACTCACGGTGGGGCATGGACAAGGGCACATCCACGGTCAGCGTTAAGAGGACTGTTGGACCTTGCCGCAAGGTGCTTCAACGTAGCTTTCTCTCAGAACCCAGCCAAATGAGTACTGGACAAAATTTCTGGTGATTGGGGATTGTCATGGTCGGCCCTGTGCCCCTCTACATTCTAAGGGACTGACCCAACCATAGATTATGTCCAATCTTCACGTGCACATTTCTTGTACAAGCTTTCTTGACGAGTCTGGGTCGTAGACTGAGGTATTGAACAAGGAATACGTTGATAAGAATCACTTGCACCTTGAAAGTTCGGTCTCAAGTTGCGAAAGTTCGGCACTTCCAATCACAGAACTTGTGTTTTTAGTGCACGGACGAGAAAGCAGGCCAAAGATAAACAATGAGCCAGTCCTCTCACAAAATTCGACAAGCGTTCACTTGCAACTCAAGCCATGAAGGATGGGCATGTTCATGCATTTTCTGATATTGCTAGATCCATCCTGCTGGCGACAGCAGGCTCTGACACCTCAAGAGTGCTACAGGAGTGTAAAATGAAGCATGCACTGAAGCGCTTCCCGCCAAAACTTGAAACCGAGTTGATCAAGATCGAACAAAGGAAGGTCATTGACAGGAATCACAATGAGCACTTAAAGTCTTTTTCCTCAGGCCATGTCCATGCAAGTGTGGCATTTGCGAGACACCTGATCACGCCTGTCCAGCGCCAAAGGCGATGCCAGCACTGCACTGGAAGTTGAAGATTTGAAGCATTTAAAGACCTGGTGTAGGAACCAAGGATAGACGGGTGGTTGCCTGCATTGTGATTGCGCCGAAAGCGACGCTGCTTCTGTGCATGCCTTAGCCAATGAACATACACTAAATAAGACATGTTGAACTTCGGACTTGCAATCTACAGCTCCGGACCTCTCACCTACTGCCAGCGGAAATTGAGGCAGCGGCATGCGAGCGGCAAGGTCTTTCAGCCTGCCTGGTGACCCAACACACCCATAAAGCCAACACATGATCATGTATCAGCATTACAAATGCAATACTATATAGATGAAACAATTGCCTCCGCTATGGGTCATAAGAGGTGCAATATGAGAAAATATTCCTGGGCCAGTTGGGTACCCTTTCATGTAATAAAGCCCGTGGTGTCCAAGCCACCTCCCACATCTTGTCATCTAGGGCACGACATTGCTGGCCCTCCCGTGGCAGCCCCAAATTCTGGCAGGTGCGGAAGAAACGCAATGGACATGTAAAATTCAAGGCTGTAGGAAGACGCAAATCATTTGTGCCTGAGGCAGAAGGCTTCCAAACAGTTGAAAGCACAACCATTTTGTGTTCTTTTCTGACCCCAGGTTCAATCCTTTCGCGAGAGGGTGTGAAGTGGAGTCAGGTGAAATCGGCTTTGCGAAGACACTGCTTCTCACAGGGGCTGGCTGATGCTCTATGCAAATATTTGGTAAGAATGTCTCGTGGGTGGGGTCTTCTGACGTGCGCAAACACAAATGACCTGCATTTAGGCTTACAGTGTTCTGGGCAAAGACCAATGTAGTGCATTGTAGTTGGGCATACAAATAGACATCTCCCAACAACATTGCTTCACTGCAAAGGTGGATTCACGTTGCATTTGGGGACAGGGGATCTTGATGAGGCACGTGCAAGATGGATTCCAACATCTTGGGCCTTCTTTATGCCCAAAACATGGCATCCAAAAGCTCCGTCTTTGCAAAGCATCAACTTCGACTGTCTGGCTTGTCTGGCTTGCTGGAAAGTTTCAATAACGCTCATTGGTCAATCATTTGCAAACGAAGCTGGAAAGAGACCTACGCACGAGCCTCATGCCGGACACCCTCACTAAGCGACCAACCTGAGAGTACACACAAAAATTGGAAGACTGCCACAAATGCTGGACACTGGAGATTTGCAACTAGCTGCTTCCGCATGCTGGCAAGATGCTTGGGGAAAGCGTGGCCTGCGACTGCACCACCCCTCAGGGTCCTGCACCAGTTTGAGGTGGGTCGGGATGGATCAGGAGTGTTGCTTTGATTGTGCAAACAGGCCGCAGAAGTGAGGAGCCGTCCTGGCCACGATACGACCAAACTCACCTCTGTTGTTCCGCAGAACCTGCAGCGAAGCTATTTAGGGCATTGTCTCCAATGGCTTGCAAGTCCAATTCACACACCACCTCCGTTCACTGCCTTCTTCCTCACTTTAAAACAGTTATGGAAAAATCTCTACCAGGATGCACCTCAGCAGCCTCATGGTTCAGCGGATCACCAGGGTTAGGCTCTAAGAAAAGATACCTGGCAACAGCATGCAACGGCAACATCTGGCTCAGCTCAGGCGCAGTTTTCGTAGGTGTTACTTTGGATTTGTATGAATTTGTCATGTCTGCCATGGAATCTGCTTGTCGTTTACGAGTATCAAACTCTTTGGCATGGATAGAAGCACCTTCACTCTCTCGCATGGAACGTTTTGAATCTAAGCTTTGGGTCACAGCAGCCCGTAGACCACCGAGGAGATGGACAGCACCTTAAACAGTCTTCGCTCTTGAAGCTCACCGGCTTCGTGAAATCCTTTCTTGCTAAATGTGTAGTTTGTGATATCTTCCATGCTTTCTGTCTGGGACCATGACAGGCTTCCAATCTTCTCTCAAAATATTGAGGCAAACCTTCAAGTTCAACTCTCTGAAGTATGCGAAGACCCACGAGAACGGCTCAGTCCATTGCATTCCCCTGCATGTCAATATTGGGATGGTATATCTTTGTCTCACCTGGGCGAAGCTTTTTCCAACTCAAACACGCCGATGCAATTTTACACTGAAAACCACTGAAAACGATTTGGCATCTCAAATTGCATACATTTGCTGCTTTGACCTCGGTTCTACGGCGCGCACATTTCACCTTAGGTGCCTCGCGCAAACAATAGTGGTCTCATTCAGCCATCAAAAAAGAGTGAGTGGGCTGAGCCTCATGGGGATACAATGCAGCCACGTTGAAGACGAAGGTGTAGCTAGCTCCTCCAGACTGAAGCTTTGACCCTTGGCAACGTTTGAACCAACACCGGTTTTATGTCATTCAGGCCTTTCCAAAAACCCTCGTCAGGAGAGATGGTGATGTTAAAGTGCATCAGGTTGTTCTTGTCCGGAAAGCTGGCAGGTCATGCATCAGGTGTAAAGCATTTCAGATTATATAAGGTTGAAGGTTTAGTGGTGATCCCTCTGAGCTACCTGAAGGCATGAAAAATGTCTGGGGTCAGGGCTCGATATGGCACTGCGGGGGCAGCTCCATTTCATCCAACTCCTGCTCCGAAACCGAAACTACCCACGTGGCAGCAAACTTTCAGCGGAGCCGCAACGCACTGGCCTTCTGCATTCGAATTTCGCCGGGTTGTTTTTTCTTTGCAGCCGGTGCCTTCAATCGAAGATCTCGCAAGCACGCGCATCATATCTGTGAACAGTGGACACTAAACATTCTGCGGTTGGAAAGCAAAGCGAACCAGCACAATAAAAGTGGTGGTGGTGGTGGTGGTGGTGCTGGTGCTGGTGTTGGTGTTGGTGTTCGTGTTGGAGTAGTAGTAGTAGTAGTAAGTAGTAGTAGTAGTAGTAGGAGTAGTAGTAGTAGTAGTAGTAGTAGTAGTAGGTAGTAGGTAGTAGGTAGTAGGTAGTAGGTAGTAGGTAGT